TGGGTTCCACTCTCGCCCATTGCAGCATGTTTTCAGCAGACAGTTAAACTTTACTTCTTTTCAGCAGAATGTTCAGCTTCTTTAAACAGCATGTTTTCAGCAGAATGTTCAGCTTCTTTAAACAGCATGTTTTCAGCAGAATGTTCAGCTTCTTTAAACAGCATGTTTTCAGCAGACAGTTCTGCCTCTTCAGCTGTTTTCGGAAGCCGATTTCCACTACACGGCATTCACACTGCATTTTTGCAGGAAATGCAACTTTTTCTAGTTTAGTTTAATTTAATTTAATTTAATTTAATTTAATTTAATTTAGAACCTTGTCAAATGTGTACATATTTAAAGAGAAATAATTCTTTGTTTTGTATAAATATTAAAAGATTTCAAACAAGAGTAAATAAATGACTAAAAAGTGAATCTAAACAAAGTTGTCTCTTTCAGGTTTCATCAACATCTACCTGCAGAAGACATTTGTGTCCAAACAGCTGAGCAACTTGTTGATTAACGGAGTGCAACCCCCACCACTGCCATCCAAGAAGAAGGTCTGTGCACATGCTGAAGTTATTTTCCCGCCATGTTTTTCCTTTTTAGTTAACCTTTGAAGTCTTTGATCCCTTTTTTAACATTTGATTTAATTATTTGTATCTAATTATCTGGTATTCAACAGTTTCACGCGCATTTTTTCTACTCTTGGCTCTGTGTGATGTCAAAGAGAGTGCCACAGAGGCCCCGCCCACCAGTTTTATTGTTTCGGTCCTTGCCTTTCACAATAAAAGCCTTCCACAAACACACACAAACAATAACAGTTTATAGAGTTACATCAAAGCAAATTACAGCAGATTTTAGGTTCACATTTTAAATATTTTTTACAAGTTGTGAAAAGGAAAATTTTATTTTTTTCTTTTTTTCTTAATGAATGAAAAATTTTATAAAACTTGTAGAAATGAGCTTCCTATGAAGGCAATCTGGACGCTGAGATGAGGTGAGGAGCTCAGTTTAATATAGCAGGAACCAGAAAATGGACAGATTTGATTATTTTATTAATTTATTTATTTCAGTTAAAAAATAAAGAACCACATTTACTCATTTTATTATTGCTGTAAAAGTCACGTTCACATTTATCTGTGTGGAGTTGAAATTATTCATATAAAGTGTGACATAAAAATGTGTGTGTGTTCACAAAAGCAGAGAAGAGAAAGAGGAGGTGGAGGATGTGAATGAGAGAGAATCCAAAATAAGCTATACTATAGAGACAGAAATTAATATTAATGCAACACTGGAAAGAAGAAGATTGCTTTTAAACTGAAGCTGTGACAGGAAGTAAAAACGTGTGAGGTTTAAGGCGGATGTCAAAAAGTTTGATTAAACACACCAAAATAGGCTTATTATGAACCATGACTCATGCAAAGCTGCTCTGATAGAGTCCAGGAATAAAAACGTGGAGCTGGTCTTCTTGAGGTAACCTGTGACGGGGTTTACCCGTCTCAGCGTCTGCATTTATCAGTTCCTGTGTGTCTGTGTTGCATTCAGGTGGTGGTGGATTTCTCATCTCCAAACATCGCCAAAGAGATGCACGTGGGTCACCTGCGCTCCACCATCATCGGGGACAGCATGTGCCGATTGTTTGAGTTTCTGGGATACGAAGTCCTCAGGTCAGCTTGGCCGCGCTCGCTGTGTCGTAGCTGCGAACGTTAAAAACCTTTCAAGAAATAAAATCTAAAAAGTTAGTTTTTATTTCTGCAGGCTGAACCATGTGGGGGACTGGGGGACCCAGTTTGGGATGCTGATCGCCCACCTGCAGGACATGTTTCCGGACTACCTGACCGTCTCCCCTCCCATCGGTGACCTGCAGGCCTTCTACAAAGTCAGTTCATGCTCATCCCGTCTCTGTGTGTGA